GAATACAAGAGTTGTAGATGGAAATCACGAAGTAGAAATTGGAAGCATTGAGAACTATGAGGTGAGGTGTTCATTTTTCTACACTTATTTTGTAAATAAAATTCTATGCCGTTTTATTGTTGATAGCACACTGCAAATTTTTTATAGGTGTACGTAGGAGCAAATAAATATGTGGACAAAGATTTTTACGATTTTTTATGTAAAAGAGAGCCTGGATGGTTTTGCGAGAAATTTTTGTCATATACTGGAGAACTGAAGCAAAAGCCAATCGCTGCATATCTAAAGAGAAGATAATAATTTGGTTGCGTTATGCAGACACTTTAAGCACCAGATTATTTAAAAGCTATTTTTACTAGTCTAAGTATTTCTGAGTTTGTAGCTATAGTGATAATAATGTAAAAATTAAAAAAATTAGATTTGTAAAAATTCAATTATTATTTTCTTGTACATTTCTTAAAATTAAACATTATATACCTCTAAACAATGTTCAATAAAGCAGCGATAATCTGCGTGCAAGATTTTTCCTTATCATTTGCTAAAATTATTTATCGCTGTTTTCGATCCAAAGCGTTGAATATACATATACTTACCATAACCCGTACTATGTCATTACACGTATCATCATGTTCAGTCATTTTTTCTTCAATTCTAGAAAAATTAATTTTGTACCTTTTTTTTTATTTTTCTTAAAACTAATTAAATCTTTCTGTTTTGGTGTCACGGTACGTATGGTAACACCTCATAAGGTCATGACACTGCATGAAATCGTTTTTTGTAAACTTTTTTGCCGATAAAAAAATCAAATTTAATTGTTACATGTAATACCATTTTAAATTACTGATGGCTTTTCTAAACCAAAACTCCATAAGTAATTTTAAGTGAAATTCTAAATATATTGACAAAAAGTCTGTTTACCGATGGAGTGACAAATGTTATTACAAAAAACTGCTCAGAAGGATTCAAACGCAACATCAATAGGAGTGTGCAATGCAATAAAAGCAATAATATATATCTAGAGAAGAAATGAAAAAGTATTGCTACTGCAGCCGAGACCAATTGAACAGTGTGCTCTGTGTTCACATGGGGCGTCAATAATTTTCTGCATAGTTTCTTTAGCAGTACGTATACTAAATTTGGAACGATACAGAGAAGATTAACATGGGCCCATGCGCAAGGATGACACGCAAAATCGCGGAACGTTCCACATTTTTTGGGACAAACAGAACATTTTTTTTACACCCAGTGAAGCACTTATGATGTTTAAGAATCTCAATAATAAAACCTCTTCAGGGGTTGACAAAATACCAAACATTGTTCTTAAACACTTAAATACAGACAATCTAATCAACTACACGATCATTTTGAATAACATCATTAACAATGCTTACTTCCCCAAAAGTTGGAAAATAGCCAAGATTTGTGCCAATATCAAAGACCCAAAGGATCCTAAAAGTTATACAGGGCAACCCTACTGCCTGGTATTACGTTATTCCACTAGAAATTACACAGTAAGTTATGTGTGTAATCTCACGAAATAACTCATGTGTAAAGTCATGTGGTATTCCATGCAGGTAATTGGTTGGTAAATTTCATGTATAATGCTTGATGGCGTTCCACATGGCATTACACGTGGCATTACACATGGCATTACACATGGCATTCCACGTGGCATGTCATGTGTAATTACGCTAATAAAATAAAAAAAAAAATTAAATAAAGGAAATACAAAAAAATTAAAAAAAATGTAATGAAATGAAATATGAAAAAAAGTAAAACAAGAAATGAAAAAAAAAAAAAAAAAACAACATCAAGTTTTTAAAGATAGAACCATGAGATGGACACGCAACAGCGGAATAATTGATGAACATTTTTTTTAAAGGAAATGTTTGCACTTAGCTCGGATAAGTTTACAACCGTACAAGTGTAAAAATGGTTTGTAATCGAAAGTCAACGGCGAAAGTATACCTTTGCTACTCGAGTGAACAGAGAGATAGATCAACGAAGCGCGAAAAAGAAGGAAAAAAAAAAAAAAAGAAAAAAAGGAGGGAAGGTACCGGGAGNCATGTGTAATGCCATGTGTAATGCCATGTGTAATGCCATGTGGAACGCCATCAAGCATTATACATGAAATTTACCAACCAATTACCTGCATGGAATACCACATGGCTTTACACATGAGTTTTTTTGTGAGAAAATTTTAAGTCAAAAAAAAATTACTGTGGGAAACTAAAATTAAAATTTGTTAAAAAATTAATTGCTTGGGAGTGTGAGCGGGAATGGTGGGTAAAGGTGTGAAGAAGAGTAACACGGCACGGTTGACAGATATACATATATAGTGAGGAGAGGGAAAGTGTGTAGAGAACAGTTGGTAAGGGGGACGGGGTAAGGGGAGAAACTTGAGAGGAAGAGGTTTCTGATTAAAAACAAAAAAAAATCTGTCGGTTTTAAAATTCCAGCCCCCCGAGTAACGCGACATAAAGAACTTCGTTCTAAAAATATTCCTACATACATTAATAAATACCAAATGTAATTTTTATTTATTTAAATACACGATAATACACCCCCAACTTTATCAGTTAATGAACAAAGTAAGGTCTGTATTGAATGGCCATGAAGAAATCGTATGTATAGTTGTAATAGTAATGAAGCTTGTGTGTGGATTTCCGGCTATGGACAGGTTATGCAAACGATATTTTAGCTCAAAATAAACCCGCACATCAAATTATATTCTTTACAATCAGCTTTTCAGTTTGGGGACCAATTATACGTTAATAATTTTTGTGACAGAGTAATCGCACGCGAGTGGCCACGATGCCTATGAAGTAAGTTTTGCTAAAATTACCAAAAAATGTCTACGTTTCACACACTTTGAATCTTTAATGTTTTATTTGTTGAAATAGTGAAATAAGTATTTTATCATCATATAAATACGCACAAAGAGCTTGCATATAACTTGTCTGTATGATACATTTGAGATAAAGCATTGGAAATTTAAGGATTTAGGTATTACAATAAATTATTAATGTTAAACAAACTTATTTTTCCAATTTATTTTCGTAAAATAATAAACGTTTGTGGCATTTTCATTCTAATAATGTAATAATAAAAAAATAGTGGCCTTTTGCTAGTACATTTTTTGATTTGATGCTGGTAGACATAATTTAGTAGTGGTAGATGTTGGGCATCTGGGCAACGTACTTTTATTTTTATCTTCAATCTCTACACAAACAACAATTTTACTTAAGCTGTCAGTCTCAAACGTAACTAATTCAGCACCAATGGAGCCAATAGATTGAGTTGAGCATGTTATCCTACTAGATGCGTTTATTATATGGCAGAGTATTAATTTTTTTTTTGTATCCATATCAACTACGAAATAAACTATTCTGATAATTGTCCCATCTAATAGTTGAGCATAGCTATTATCTGACCGTATGTATGAAACACATTGTGCGACTGAAAATTCTTATACATTTCAACTATGCATGGTACAGTTACAATTAATTGCATTGTCATATAATTTATACATCTAAAATGGGGAAATACTAGGAAAGGCACCTCGAAGAACTAACAGGTTTTTTAAGAAAAGAGATAACCCTCCAGAAAATTCAAGTCATGACTCTGATGAGGATAATGAGAACGTTTTTAATTAAAACCGAAACCGAATACAAGAGTTGTAGATGGAAATCACGAACTAGAAATTGGAAGCATTGAGAACTATAAGGTGAGGTATTCATTTTTCTACCTTTATTTTGTAAATAAAATTCTATGCCGTTTTATTGTTGATAGCACACTGCAAATTTTTTACAGGTGTACGTAGGAGCAAATAAATATGTGGACAAAGATTTTTACGATTTTTTATGTAAAAGAGAGCCTGGATGGTTTTGCGAGAAATTTTTGTCATATACTGGAGTACTGAAGCAATAGCCTATCGCTGCATATCTAAAGAGAAGATAATAATTCGGTTGGAGAAGAGAAGCCCAAGAAAAACTTTAACATCTAAAAAATATAAAGATCTCAAGAGTAAGTAAATACTTATTGCTTTTTTTTTAATATTAACAATTATATTCACTGATCAAAAAATTTTTACGTTCTAGAAATGTACAAAGTATACTTGAAAAACTGATTTATGTCTCAAGAAACACAAGCAAAATATTTTGCGAAGATGAATCGGAGCATAGATCATAAGATTAAAGAAGTAAGAAATAAGTTGTATAAAGAGGTATATGAATAGTGAGAAGTTATTAAAAAATGCCATAATTTATAAAAATAACTATTTAGATAGCATAGATTGCCCAAAACATGCGTTTGTTCTTATGTGTCTACCAGCATCAAATCAAAAAATGTACTGGCAAAAGGCCACTATTTTTTTATTATTACATTCTTAGAATGAAAATGCCACAAACGTTTATTATTTTACGAAAATAAATTGAAAAAATGTGTTTGTTTAACATTAATAATTTATTGTAATACCTAAATCCTTAAATTTCCAATGCTTTATCTCAAATGTATCATACAGACAAGTTATATGCAAGCCCTTTGTGCGTAATTATATGATGATAAAATACATATTTCACTATTTCAACAAATAAAACATTAAAGATTCAAAGTGTGTGAAACGTAGACATTTTTTGGTAATTTTAGCAAAACTTACTTCATAGGCATCGTGGCTACTCGCGTGCAATTACTCTGTCAGAAAATTATTAACGTATAATTGGTCCCCAAACTGAAAAGCTGATTTTAAAGAATATAATTTGATGTGCGGGTTTATTTTCAGCCATAATATCGTTTGCATAACCTGTTCATAGCCGGAAATTCACACGCAAGCTTCATTACTATTATAATTATACATACGATTTCTTCATGGCCATTCAATACAGACCTTACTTTGTTCATTAACTGATAAAGTTGGGGGTGTATTATCGTGTATTTAAATAAGTAAAAATTACATTTGGTATTTATTAATGTATGTAGTAATATTTTTTTTATTTTATTAACGTAATTACACGTGACATGCCATGTGGAATGCCATGTGTAATTCCATGTGTAATGCCATATGTGGAACGCCATCAAGCATTATACATGAAATTTACCAACCAATTACCTGCATGGAATACCACATGGCTTTACACATGAGTTATTTCGTGAGATTACACAAATAACTTACTGTGTAATTTTTAGTGGAATAACGTAATACCAGGCAGTAGGGAATATACTTAATGACTAGTATCAGTAAAGCGTTCGAGTCTTTTCTAAACACACAGATCACTGATCACTGTAAAAAATATAAAATTATATCGGAGATCCAGTTCGGGTTCACTCATAAGCACTCAACGATACACGCGTCACACAAGTTTACACAAGATATATGCTATCACCTAAATTATTTTAAAATGGCAGCCGCGTAGAAGAGATTCCGATTTCTATGGCACCGCAATCTGAGTGTGGTTTCGTATCTATGTTGATGCTAAGAATACAGGAAAAATAATTTAAAAATTTCTACTTACCTCCTTTTTGAGATATCGAACTCAGAAGTCGAAAAAATCATATTTTGTATGCATGCGATATTAGGGTTATTTCTAGCTTATTTGATAGTGATGAATATGAAAAAAATACTTAAAAAATTTCTAGTTATGTACGTTTATATTTTGCTTCATTTTAAATGTGTATTTCTCCTTTAAAAACATTTAAGGTGTGTTTTTTTTCGTATAAAACATGATAAAAATAATATCAGTTAAAAAAAAATAACAAGTCATTGATGGAGCAGAAAAATGAAAAGTTGGCTATCTTTGGATGTAACTGTGGATGTTTTGACATTGTTACACGCACAGAACAATAAACAGTAAATACTTGGAGATGTTACAAGATATACCGATAACACTGAGCTTTTATATTTGAAATTTTTACGTGCTCAAAAAAGCAGTGACCGATAGAGGCGCTGCATGCTTGATGAAGAGCGCGAAAATTTTTAATTTTGAAAGCATGAAGAGCGTATTAGATATAAAGCTGATGAGAATAAATAATACACTTTGATCTGTGTCAGTGTGCCGGGAAGCGGAAGGAATATAAATTTTATCGTTTTTAAATCAATAAATAATATTAATGTATCAAGTGTTTTTATATTAAAATAAAATATATTTAAAATGTGTTTTTCGACAATCGAGACGCAGCATCTCAAAAAAAAGCAAGTAGAATTTTTTAAATTGGTTTTTCCATATTTATTACTATCAAATAAGCAAGAAATAACCCTAACGCCGCATGTATACAAAATTTGGTTTTTTCGACTTTCAAGTTCGATATCTCTAAAAGAAGGTAAGTAGGAATTTTTAAATTATTTTTCCTGTATTCCTGGCATCAACATACATAAGAAACCACACTTAGATTGCGGCGCCACAGAAATCAGAATCGTTCCACCACCTGCATGATTGATACCGAAAAGGCGTTTGATTCGGTGTGGACGAAGGACCTTGTATTTAAATTAGGGAAAAAAGACTTACCAGAACACATAATTAACATTCTGCACAACTCTTTTCAAGATAGGGAATCATTCACTGTTAATTCAAATAATAAAACTTCAATAAGATTCAAATACATGAAGGCCCAGCTTCAACAAGGCATCATGGATTCTCCCATTCTATTTAATATCTATACAAGCGGAATAGCGAATCTCTTCGACCTCAATCAAAAAAACAACAAATACGCAACCTTTTTTGCAGATGACTTAATTCTATATGTTGGAGCAAAAACCTCAGCTACAGCTAAAAAGATTCTAGAACCTTTAGCAAACGACGTAAAAAGCTGCTACGGAAAATGGTTTTTAAAAATAAAGCCTGGTAAATGCGAAACTATTCTTATTAGATTAGAACAAAACTGGTTGAACAAAAGGGAAAAAAAATTTTTAAAGAGTTTTAAATACAATTCAAAACAGGGAATAATCAATTAAAAGATGTACCTCACAAAAAATCTGTCAAATATCTAGGTATGCAGATTGACTACCTATTGCGATTGCATGGGCAACCTCTTTTACAACTACAAAAGGCAAAAAAAGCCATCGAAGCACTGGGGAGATTATTCTACAACAGATATCTATAAAAAAAGCTAAAGTTATCTGTTACTGCTTAATGATTAGACCAATAATAACGTTTGCAGCACCAATTTGGTTTAACCAAAGTGCTTCCACTATGGAGCGAATTCGATTGTTTGAACGAAAATGCGTAAGGGCGTGCCTAAGCACGTACGTACAGGAACCCTGCGTACGAATACAGAAAATATATTAAAAACACAACATTATACAACACTGTGGACGTTCCTAGAATAGATATATTTATTTTGAAACCAATTAGAAATTATTTTGTAATTTTCAAGAAGGTTGATAACTTTATAATTTGTAATAACCTTGTTAGCTTAGATGAGAGATACTATGAAAGATGTAGAAGTAGTGGCATTGTCCCACCTGATACTTTCCTGCTACTGGATCGGCAAAGACTGATACAAAATAATGAAAATATTCCGATCATATATCATTGGTCTCGTCATCAAGAAACAAAAAAAATTCCAAGCAGCGCTAATATGTTACCGGCGTTAAAATACAGTATGTCTATACCTACTAAGGATACTTTCCCAAGCGGAAATTTTTTTCGTGATTAATTAACGAAAAAAAATAAAAAATTACTGATACTAATATTTTATAAAATCCAGATTTGAGACTATAATAAATTTTAATAAGTGTTATTATCAGTTATTATTTTTTATTATTTTTTTTTCGTCATAACTGCCGTTACAGAAACATCGATAAAAGTAGTAACTAGACATAACTTTTATGGTTAATGATCACTATCTAATACTCGACTTTTCAGACAATAAAAAACTAATAGCTATTAACAACAGTTAACAATAGATAATTTTTATTGTCTTATATTTTATATTAGATGGAAAAAATAATAATAAGAAATAAAAAAAAAAGAATCTTTATAGGCACGGTTGTACTGTTTGATTTCGGGAACANAATAACAACTTGTGACAGATAATTGTGAATAATAAGTCTTATTACTTGTCTCAAATCTAGACATTAACAACTGTTATTATTTTTTTATATTTCCTACTAATTTTTAAAAATAATTATTACCAATGTATCAAACAAAATTATTTCCGCTTGGGTTAGAAAAGGTTTACAAAAGCCCAAGTATTGGTGGCTGCAAGAGGCAGATTAGTAATTCATAATTTCATTTTATACATCTATTACTTGTCGTTGTATATAAATGTAAATAGAGAAAAAAAGAAAAAAAAACAACAACAACAACATATATATCCCATATATATCTATACTCTCCATACTCTTACCCTTGCAAAGGCAAAAATTACAACAAGATAAGTTAAGAATTTTCGTGCAAATAATTTTTTATCTTTACAAAAACAACCATATATGTAACTATAAACAGAGCAAACAAACAAACAGCGAAAATAATGTATTAAACTCTCATTAAAATACTTGTAGAGCACTGTGTGCCACTTAGTACATAGCATCAGCTAAAATGATGAGCGATATCTTTGTACGTTTAATTCTAGCTTGTATTATCCAAAATATGTATTACTTACACGAATAAAACGTTCTTTTAAGACAAAAGTCAATACTTTTCTGCAATCTATATGAATGCGCGAGTGCGAGAGTGAGGGCGATCTCTCTCGCACCCGTGCATTCAAATAGATTGCAGATATATTGCTATTGACACTCCACTTGAACAGGGCACACTGTACAATTGCTGTTTGTAGAGGAGGTAATAGACAGCTGTCTGTTTGAAATGTTTCTTACGCATATTTGTAGGTTATAATTGATGTGGAGACGAATTATTTGTTTGTAAAAAAAAGTGGAAGTATGATTTCAATCTCAAAAAAGTTTATAGGCAGGGTAAGCTACGAAATTATTATTTCTTGGTATGAAAGTCTTTCATCAAAATAGAACACTTATGATTGAAATCGTATTTCCACTTTTTTTTACAAACAAATAACTCGTCTCCACGTTAATTATAACCTACAAATATGCATAATACACATTTTAAACAGACAGCTGTCTATTACCTCCTCTGCAAACGGCAATTGCACAGTGTACCCTGTTCACATGGAACGTCAATAGCAATCTGCAATCCATTTGAATGCAGAAAGTATTGAGCTTGCGTCTGAACGCATCCTTATACTTCTAATGTCGTCTGCTACAGCATGCTCCTGCTATGCATGCGAGCGGAGGATTTGTATGTATACAAAAGTAGATGCAGCTAACTGATGAAACGCGAAAATTTCCTAGAAACTATGTATTCCATAGCAATATCAACAAATAGATTTTTATTAATAATATAAAAATTATAATGACAATTAGATGATAGAGCAATTTGTAGATTGAAAGAGCACTTTTTTTCAGTAATAATCGTTTTAATGTAAATTGTATTATTAATTAGCTGAGATATAAACTTGCGAAGTTTCGCTTGCCGTAGGATACTTTAATTTGCGTTAACTGAATAAATGAGAGGGAGCAATTTTTAATACTTGTATTTTTTAAAAGAGCACCTTCTACATAGAAAGAAGTGGTGTTGCTTTATAGATCAAAAATTTGCAGGTCTAAGCACTCTAGAATGTAAGCTATCGAATGCACCATGCTGTGCGAGCAGTGCGAGTCAAAGTAAAAACAGTATGCCAGCAGCCAAATATTCGCAGCGCACACTTCAAAATTTGAAATACTACAGATCGACACTAGATGGACTCTGTAGAGAGTTGGTAGTGGGGATGCTACAGCTTAGAGTTTGGCACCTGAGGGGAGAAACTTCGTCTTATACCAAAACTGCATTTTGCTGTTCACATCCCGACTGTTATGAAAAAATTCGGGCCAGTAGTTCACTTGTAGAGCATGTCTGATGAAAGGACAAATCGATTTTTAAACAGTATAGCAGTAGGTACATCTTGCAGAATAAATTTACCGATAACAATTGCAATTAAAAATCAATTGCATCAGTGCTATGTAGAAGAATATTGCGAGAATGTAAGTAATGATATAGTGTTTGGATCTATACAGGAAAAATCTGATGTAAAAATTGTTTCAACGAAACAAATTGCTAAAAGTTATAATTTTGTAATTGCGAATAAAAGAAAATATTCTTTAGGGGCTGTTTTTGTAAGCGAAGTAAATGATAATGGTCCAAAGTTTGTTGAAATCGAAAAAATAAATGGTATTAATCGTGAGATAAAATTTTTGGCGAGCAAAATTAATACAATTTACAATGACCATAAATATCAAGCTTTCAAGGTTTTATTGAACAATAATGCTACTGCATTGTACTCTCTGAAAAACCTCCCTCTATTAGACCCAGAGTTATTAGTTAAAAAAAATAGCCAGCATTATATTGTATCGAGATACGAATAAATATAGAATATAATGTCTAGTTACTGCTAGAATTACGCTATAAATGCTTCGTGTACGTATTCATTAAAATTGAGAAATAAAAAAACAAAATATGGCTTAGTTCAATTTTTTCTATATTTATACTTTCCTATATTTACATTAAAATTTAATTTATAGTTTACTTTTACAGACAACTTAAAATTCAATTAATTTTTTTCCCTTTTTTTATAAAGGACTATTTGAATTTTATATTATGAAGTCTATAGAATAAAAATAAATCAGTGAACCTATTACCTAATTGACTTAATAACTAATATGATTCAACGTTCAACTCGCTACAGTTCGAAATCTCGCGTTTACTCGCGAGCACGAAGTTTCGCCTTTAGAGTGCCAAACTCTGAGCTGTGGCGTCCCCACTACCAACGCTCTACAGTCCATCTAGCGTCGAGCTGTAGTATTTCAAATTTCGAGGTGTGCGCTGCGAATACTTGGCCACAATTGCGTACTGTTGTCAATCGTGCCTGTGGCAGTTAGGCATTTGAAGCAAGACAAGTCAGAGTTACTCATCCATGAAGGCTTCTAACCTCTAGTAGTCACAATATTGCTGAGCTTTACGGTGTTAAAAACGCTTTCTGTGTAGTACGTTGATTAAATAAATTTGTTTATCAATAAATTACTGATTGTCTACGAGCTGGGGCTGGGGTGGCAATAGTTATAAGAACAGTGGCCACTTAAACTTAGAAACACACTAATCCATTAGTGTCAGACACTCAGACGTCAGGAGAACAATATTGAAGCGTTCCGAAATAAGTTCGGATCAGTCAAGAACGTGTATACGTATACTACCTTATCACACTTTAAAGTACAAATTTATAGTTGAGGTCAGTTATGTGTTCATGCAGTTACTGTAACCTGAACTTGCGGTAGTTGACAACGATTATACGTAAGCATCTCATTATGAAGTAGGAATTTATCTTTTTTGTCAACTATGTGTTTAGTCATTTGCATCTATTATGGTACATACATCCTCATGAAAACAGTGGTGTCTAGCAACTAACTGTGACATATTTTTTTTAGAAACACTTGTTTAGAAGTAATCCAACAAGTTATGAAATTTGATTACAAAGAATTATTTAAGGTTTATTTTGAGCCTGCAGATATGGAAGGTCGTCTGTGTCACAAGAGAGCACATAAATCAGGTTTGTCAGTTATTTTGCTAAATAAATTTTTTCCATAATCAATAATTTGTAAAACAAAAATTGAATAGCTATTAAAGTTGACACCTAAACTAATAAATTCTACAGTACAGTACTTTAAAGTTTAATATTTTCAGATAAAAATTGATAGCTATAATCATAGTTACTAGGAATAGCTATATACCTAATTGTAGCTATATTAAACTACAAAATAGCTATAGGATGCTATAAAGTTTATAGCATGGTAGAATTTGCTAAAAATCATAACGATATCCCGAAAATTCTGCTTAGCTCGAAAAAAGTAGGGTAGTATTCTTAATGTATTATAAAAAAATTGAAACAGAATTTAACAAGAAAAAATGTCAGCAATAGCCCCCAAAAAATGGAAAAAATGTCCAAAACATGTTTTTCGCTTCTAGAAGAAAACCGAAGAATCGCATGAAAAAAGTGTGTCCTGAAATACATGTGCAATTTAAAGTCGAACAAAAAGAGCCGCGCTGGGTACATTTCGGTTTAGCCGTTTTTTTCGGCAATCACAAAAAACTGCCATTTGGAGCCATGTTTTCGAAATTCAATAACTTGAATTCCGTACAATAATTAGAGCTGAAATTTTTACAAAAGACAAATATCATAGCTCTCATACACACAAAATTTCAGCCTTATCGGTTCTAAACTTTTCGCGAACCACAGCAAAAACCGAAAGAAGGTCTTTTCGAAAAATGGCCATTAACAACTTGTTTGCCAACATAGCTACATTTTTAAAATGTATTTTGCTTTTTCTATATTTTCTCTATAAGTACCTAAAATGCCATTCATTTTTACCAATTAGAAGTATCTAAAAAATTGATTGCAAAAAAAGCACATTTCGTTTTAAACGCGCTCGAGGAAAACGTGCATGCAGAAAGAGGGCGAGCTCTTCAGCGGCGGCTAGTCGAAACACCAATTCCACTGACCGGAGAGCAAAAAGCCGTTTTTTGCGATGAATTTTCAAGACACATTCGATTGATAAAAATAAATGGAGTTTCCGGTACTAGTAGAGTAAATATATACAAAGAGAAATACGATTACAAAGTGTACCTATGTTGGCTAACAGCTTTTTAATAGCAATTTTTCGGAAGGTCCTTTTTTCGGTGTTTGCTGCGGTTCGCGAAAAGTTTAAAACCTATTGAGCTGAAATGTCGTGCGTACAAGAAAGGCTATGATATCTGTCTTGTTAAAATTTCAGCTCTCAATATTGTATATAATGCGTGTAATTGAGTTTCGAAAGAAAGGCTCAAAATGGCCGTTTTTTGCGATTTGCGAAAAAACGGCTGAGCTGATCTAAACCCAACTCATTTTGTTCGTCTTCAAATTACCCATCTTTTTTACGAATCTTTTTTTCATGTGCCATCCTTACCCAGCCGGCATCCACATTTCTTAAAGAGTTCTTTATAAATTCAGTAACGAACTTGTTTTGGTATTCGCAAAGTGTGTCTGAAGTATTATTAAATTATTCCTATAGTATCCTACTTACGTCCCCTTTTTTGAATTCTCTGAGAGTTCGCCAAGAGTTATTTTTTCTACAATTTCAGTTCATAAAGAGTTCTAAAAGTATTNTATTTTATTCCCAATGATATAATTTTAAGGCACTTAAAAGGGTCATACTTGATGAAAGTCGTCACCTAACAAAGCTGACTGTGTACTTGGTGGTTCTTAGAAGTGTCAAGTGACAACCGAAGCGAGCCACGAAGCCTAAACACATGAAGTCAGCAAATTCCATACCGTCATGTTACAGGCGCTATTACATTTCTTTTATGTATTCACTTTCTAGTAAATCGGATAGTTGAATTCTCTGAGAGTTCGCCAAGAGTTATTTTTTCTACAATTTCAGTTCATAAAGAGTTCTAAAAGTATTAATTTTGATCCCACGAAACTTAAAAATAGAATTCAAATGAAAAACTATTTCGTTGAAAAGTAGGTTTTTCCCTTCTGTAATTACACTAACTCCAATTTCCGATATACACTTATTCAGAAAAAAAGTCTGCAGCCAAGTGGAATCGAACCCAAGATAGCTAGAGCACGCGTGTGATACAAACTCGCTTCTCCACTCGACTACCGAGCATTCGGAAGTTCATAAACATTTAACGCCTACATTAACTATATACGAACATTATGATCTTTGTTCTTTATTTATCTCATATGATTAAAAAATTGTGTGAAAAATCTCTCTACTCTTCTTGCTCCTCGACAACGTTATTTTATAACTTTTTGTTAGACACGCACTTATTTGTACATATTATAGTAACGTTGTACTATCTGGATGATGCATCATTGTGAGTATATGATCAAACTACGCAAATTATAAAACAAAGTCTTCAAACGTGTAATAAAAATTATTATCAACACAAATAAATACCAAATTAAAATTGCTAAATAAATGTAACAATTAAAGCGAGTCTTAATATTTAGGACAAGCTTCAAAGTTTCACCATAAACATGATTAAATTTTGACAATAAGATACACAGAGCTTTCGTAGCACAGACAGCTTGCACGCATATTTATCACTTCGTTGTTGCATTCTTGAGTTCGAATCTCAGTGTTGACGATAACTTTTCTTTGTTTCGGTGGTCTTACTAGTTATTCTTTAGGTTTTTTTTCACACTCTTCTATTATGAATACTTCTGTAAGCATTTAAATTTAAATTAAATATTAAATACCTTGAATAATTTTATTGTCATTGTCCAATAAGCTCCAAGCTTGGATATTTGTATCTTACGAAAATTACTTTATTATAACTTTTTTGCGATACAAAAAATTAGTTGTTTGCTATTTCAAGAGAAAAATATCCCAGAGGATGTCGTATGTAAATAACTTAATAATAAATATTCAGTTCTTACTTTAAATTATACCGATCACTTATTTCATGTCGTTTTAAGTGGAAAAAAGTGAAGCATCGTTTACAAATCAATAAAAAATACATGCACAAACGTAAAAGTCTCGAAATGATTGATTAAAAAATTTTAGTTATTTTTATTTTTTGTAGCAACGTACAAAAAAAAATTAAGTTTTGCACCATGATAAACATTCTCTACCGTATTTAAAATTTAATTTTAACTTACGTGTCTGCCTAATTAATCGTAATAAAAGACTTTAAGGACAAACCAGTTAATGAATAACTAATAAAACCGTCAAAATAGTAAAAAAAAAGTCAAATCACATAGATGAAGATTCGAGCCCAACAATGCAAAAACAAAACGACGAACTTACATGCGATCCATCTGCGCTAAAGGAGATCTGTGTAAACTACAGTCAAAAATTACTTATGTTTATAAAAAGCTCCAAAACTTGTCCTAGCCATCGGGGCTCGCTGGAATTATTAAATTTGTTTTGTAATCTTAATTTGGTATGAGTTCGTATTGATAATAATTTCGATTACGCGTGCAAAAACTTTATTCAATAATTTGCATAATCACAAGAAAACAATAAGAAATTAAATCACCGTTTCCGCAACCTTCGACCAGTTCACATATTACATTTTTTTCCATCCTAACAAAAATTAAATAAAATTATACGAAATCACGTACCTCACGATCACAGATGAGTACATTGAAAAAAATTTGGTACTTTGAGATAACCAACTTACTGACATCTTACAGCTCAATGAATATTGAGTTTTTATATTTCTAAATTCGAATGACATTAACCCTAATTTGAATGTACGTCAATTCCAAAATTTTCGAGTAACACTGTTTCCAAATTAGGATTCCCGTAACACTAACTTCGAAGTAAGCAATTTTGAAGTGGCACTTTTTTTTTTTCTTTATTGTTTTNGCTCATTGTCTCTCTCTCTCTCTCTCTCGCCTCGTCATTTTTATGTATACATCTGCGTCTACATTATCGTCATCATCGTAATTATACTCTTGTCTCCCGCGTACACAGTTATTGTACAAAAACCTGTTGTATTGTACGCGTGTAGGAATAGCGCAGGTAAAAATTTGTTGCTGCATAAATATTATAACACACACGTGTATTATATCCTATATAGGATGGGCTGTTTAATTTCCCGCGATTTTCCAGTCGATTCTCTGCGTGTCTGTTAACCAACTCTTCCCATATACACATGCATAATAGCTTCGAATAAGGGGTACAGCCCAGCCCGTGCATGCACGAGGAAAGCTGCACGATTTCAATCTTCGCCACGCCGAACCAGCAGAAGGACTCTGCGGCTGCATTTTCATATCTCATTGTCCCATCGACCGTGCACACATACGCTCATGGGTATGGGTTATATCTATCGGAACGCGCGAGAGTGTATATAAGAGAGGGGGGCCCGAAGGCTCTTTTTCCTCGCGGATGGAAATAATGCTTTTTCTTCCTATTTTTTTTTATTTATTTATACGCGCGCGTATGGTGTATAAAATAGGCCTCCAAACGTGTAATAGCACGTAACAACACACCGACTGCCCGGTGTATCGTAATCGGGATGCTATACTATATATATATACATATATATTATATATACATCAATTCGCTATTTATTGCGATGTATGAAATTACAACAGTGCTTTGAAGAGCAGAGCTCCCTAGTCAAAGCACCGGACTCGTTGCTGATGGCTAAAGTGATTAACATGGTCTTGCATTGGCCTTTTATACCCTCAAAAAAGCAGCAGCGTTGGTAGCTTTGATTAGGCGGCTCGAATGATTTGCATATTTTGCCGCAATTCGCAACTATTGTGTGTTTCGGTATACACATAAGTATTCCATACCGTCATGTTACAGGCGCTATTACATTTCTTTTATGTATTCACTTTCTAGTAAATCGGATAGATGGTGTTAAGAGGTATCAGATTGAATTCAAATTGGCGATAGATACTTGTACGTATACCTAGTCCCTCACAGTGCTTACCGACTAAAAACTAACCTCGCCGCATGGGACAGGTCCGTTAGGACCACTCCCCTAGAATACGAAAAGGCATAAGAGAAGAGAGAAAAGGAGAATAACGGAGAATTTCGGAGGCCGACT